ACTTTTTTTTAAACAAATATCGCAAATTCATTAGAAGTAGCCTGTCTAGTACTAGTCTCAGGCCCTTTTATCAACTAGATAATCGTTAACTTTATAGTAAGTCTTTACACAGCTTTTCTTTAATACATTTCTTAAATTTATTAAAAGAGCCTCTGGGATTTTATTAAAGAAGAGTATCCCTTTTCCTAAAAATTACTAACTTAAGATAGTCTAGTACCTAGTCTAGTAGGGGAGCTACCAACCAGTTGCCAACTAAGCCGCGGAACTTAGATTAGGAAAGCAAAATATCTTGTACATTTTTAATAATAAATATCTGGGATATGAGTTGTGGTTAGGCTATTAAACTAATGGAAGAGCATGCGGTATGACCCTCTGCCCTATAAAGAGACTTTTTGAATAAAAACCTAATATCATAAGTATAGTACTGTGTATAGCTCGCCTTGTATATTATATAATCCGCTCTATGTAAACGACACGAAAATCAAAACAATGAGTTTAAAATAAAAATATTATATTATTGACATGTTAAAAAATACGTTTGGCACTCGGGGTCTGCCCCGGTGAAGCATAGCATTTTTTATAAAGTTATGCAATATAATTATTTGTTTTTTTTTCTTTGATATTAATTCAAGTTTTTTTTTTGATATTACCTCAATCTACCACTCAGACTAACACGCCTATCCGATCACGCTAAACCGATGTGAGACGCAGTATGCGTTCTGTCCCGCTCTAATGCGTATTGGCCGCACCTATATTACGTCATCGTGTGTTAGGTTTATTTCGTTACGGAATTTCTTGATTCCGTAATTTCCGCGGTATTATTTTTGTAAATTCCACGCTCAAAGCCCGCGATAAAATCTATGCAATAGCTTAAAAATAAAAGATTAACAACGATTTTAACGCTATTCGATTGAAAAATACACAGACTATTAGATAATTTTTCCGATTCAGCTAATTTCAAGAAATGTGTCACTATTTATCACTATTTTACGTACGCAAATGAAACCACAAGTTGATTTATATTCTCTTGTGTGGCTTCCTTGTATTCCCCTAGACAACACGATACTAACGCTGAGGGACGGTGACTCAGGGGATTTGGAGCGTCATGTTATTCTACAATGTATGGAAATTAACATATATATGTAAATTTAATAGTTTTAATACAATATTTTTCATTTATAATTTATAACCACCTCCTGGAGTGGTGTAAATACACACAAGGAGTATAACCAGTCGGTCGGTTCTATTATATTATTATAGTTTATTGCTAGTTCTTCTCTTCCGTTCTACGCCCTTGATTTGAGAACTGGCAGTAAATGTAAAATTAGAAGCATTTAATGTATATTTCTTTTTTGACGTTCATAAGTGTACATTGTGTTACGTACATGAATACATGATTTTTTACTTTTGATTCCGGCGATCAAATAAAAAATATATATCCAATTTCTTCGAACAATCACTATTGTTGTCTCAAATATGGGACCTAGTTAAATTTATATCTTAAAGATTATAGATGAGAGAATAGGATGGATAAATTGTTTATAGAAAATACATTTTCGAACGGTACAATTGTTACAATTGAACTAACAGCGTAATAACAAATGCACGATCTAGAAAAGATGTAACGTACGAGAGCACGTCACAAGATCATTAAAATCGATTTTGCCGTTGTGGGTCATTGAACCCCTAATCGCAAGGTCCTCGACCACAACAGTTAAGGCGTGCACTGCGCACCGAATAAAAATTGCATGTTTTTGGAGCGTTTCCAAAGTGTGTGCCATCTGTTCGACATGTCACAATTGATGGCCATTTATGATTATGGATAGGGTTATTGGCTAACTAACACACTCCATGTCAGGATTTTTGAATACGTTTTAATTTGTTTCAAAATTTATGTTATATTTGTTTTATAACCGCACTATTTAAATGGCGCGTCACTGTTAAGATCAACAATGCACAGGATTAGCCTACTTACTTTGCAAAACGTAAAACAAAATCTTTGACACATCGAAATTGTTTAAGTTCTAAATACAAAATTTAAATCCAATTCGAAATTTAAACAGCCGTACATTTTTTATTGAAACACAGAATGCCACGGGAAAGCCTCGCTTGATATTATTTACGCGCAGTATCAATTGACAAGATCGTGTGTCCCACGAGAAATCTTGTGTTAGTCGCATTAAGACTAACGGTGACTGAACTTTTAAAGATCCTGCACTTAAGATTGGACTTTCAATTGATCCATTGTTTAAACCTGAACGCATTATATATTATAGATATTGTATTTGAAATGGCTTTTAGATTCTTGTTTTTACGAAGTAAAGCGCACAATGCGTTACTTGTCCGTGGAATAAATGTGGTTCGAAAACGAATAATACAGACGACAGAGTGTCTATTGTACCCCGAAAGGTTGTTATGTACAAAAACTCTAGTTACTGGATATTTTTTATGTTAGGAAGCATTGGAGATGTAACTTAAACAATATATACTCAACACTCATAGTCACGGATACAGAACTAAACCTTCAATAAACACTAGAATTACCACTTTCTTTATTGATTTGGATGAAAGATAACTGAAAAACAATTGATAAAACGCCGTCTTGTCAGCAATAATTGTATTTCTTTTACTTCTACCGTCACTTAGTTTTACATAAGTGCAGACCTACCCACATAAATTATTTAAAATCCTCGAAGATTTGGCACACAGCTAAAGAACCGTGTAACCTAATACTGAAGTCTGCTTAATGTAGTCCTAAAGGGCTTTAAGCGACTTTAGTATTTAGTAGGATTATAACTATGTTTATTTCAATATTACCTACCTAAGTAAATTTCATTCATATAAAAATTATTGCAAAATCAAATTTTACACTCTTTAGTAGTCATAAAGTTTAGAACCTTTTTCAGTTCAAAAATAGAGGAAGTACTTTAGTTTTTATTATTAAAATTAATTCAGTACTAAATAATAGGCATTAAATACAACTTAACCCACGCATACATGCGTCAACAGAGCTGTATATGTTAATTATAAAGGAAAAAATGTTCACGGATCAAGTACATAACGCTAGGTTATGTAAATACATAGAAGTGTGAATCATAGTATTAGTCATCGTGACAAAATATGAGCTTTGGTTCACGCAAATTTTAACACCTAAATACACGTACGTTTTATATTATATCTTAAACAAAATGGTCAGAAAATATTCAGGTTCAGATATTATAATTCGAGAAATTTTAGTTATTTACCAAATGTACAGAACAATTAATAAAAAAAAATAAAAATAAGAATTGACCTACACAGTAATAGTAGTATGTAATTAAAAGTTTATAAATAGAAAACTAAAAAATTTTTAAAAGTTTGGTACCTTTAAGGCAGCATTTTCTCGCTATATGGCGATACTTATTCGTTGAGCGATGAAAGCACCAGCTCTGAGTTCACCGATACTATCTACCAGGCGCCAACTTAAATCTTTAATTAGCGCCTGTGCACTTGAACCCCACGGCCCCAGAGACTACTCCAAAGGGAACAAAATAAAAGTTGTAGTGAAAGAATAATAATACATTTATTTTCAAATTACTCTAAAAGTATTTCGACAGGTTTTAACACATTAGGTACTCTAAATATTTTCTGATTAGCTGTAAATATAATACAAGCAGTTGTTAACAGAAATAAGTAGTACTTAAACTACAAATTCTATTTTGCTAATCATAATATCTATATGCAAATATAGTCGGGGAATTAACAAAAGAATTTTAAATTAAATTTATGTGTACAAATATTTTATTAAATAATAGTGTCACTATATTCTGGTTTGTTATCGTATAAATATAGAAAACACAAATTTGAGGAAACTATAAAGTTCGACCTGTTAAGTGCTGTATAAAAATTAAATCAAGAAATGATAGAAAATTATGAAGAAATAGTTTTAATAACTAGGCTATTAGGCTCGTAGAACTAAGAAATTTATTTTCGTAGTTTTTTTATTAGGTGAAATAGAATTAGCCTAATACTATTCCTAGTTAAAGAATTCTGCCGTATCTTACATACTACTGTTCTTCACGGTCTGGTGGTATATGGCACACATTTGTATAAATTAAACATTATTATTGACCTTGCAACTACATTTCAACAGACTACATTAAAATTTATGAATATATTCATATTTTTCACTTTCTGTTTTATAGACTTCGGACAAGTTTAGGAAAAAACTGTCAAAAGGTATGTCTATACAAAAGCGACATTTATAAATGGATTCTATACGTCCGGGGAAACTTGGCTATTTTCTCCATCATTTATTAATCGCATGTAGTAAGTGTACATGCGTAATTTTTATCAAAACACCTGCAGCGCTTTTGGCTCTTATCTACTGCATTATAAATGTTCGACGCGGACATTTATTACGTAATAATACTTTGTCAACTGGACCCTGGAAAGAGAGTCATTGGATGACATAAGAAAATATGGACAGTTGACGTAAGAAGTAGAATTATCGGAGAAAAACTGGATAAATGTTGCTGAAGACAAAGATAAATGGAAAAATCTGGAGAAAACTTTTACCTTAAAAACATAGCCATATAAATACTATCATTAACTATACATTACAAATACTACAATTACTATACATCAACAAAACTAACCTAAATTTTTAGAACAACAAATACTTGTACTAAGAAATGTAAAATCTAAAACTAATAATCGTTTTATTGAATGAATTAATTAATAAATACTCAGTCAAACGCGTGGTTGAGATTCTTTAACACTACTGTAACCTATAGTCAAAGTAATAGAAAACCGAAAAATATTTATTTGTTGAGGTATATGGTATCTGGAACTAAAAATTTACATTCGCTTTTTATTTGCTCCCAATGTACAACAATGTACTGTAGAACGTATTCGTACATACGTACTTGATACATTTAAGTACATAGCTCTTTAAATCCAATTCGTTTTTGACATAAAAGTGTCACACTTAGGGCTAAGTTTGTTTCCCGTATGTCAAAATGGTATTGGATTTTGATATACCAGTCTCGTTTTTAAATTTCACCCTAAGTACATATTTAGTTCCATTCTCGGGGATTTTTTATACAGGGTATTTGATTTGAAAATTAAACTGAAATCTATCATAAGCCACAAGTAATAATACATTTATGTTCTGCGAAATTGATAATGATGATTCAGTGCTATAACCGTAACACTAAACGCGTTAAAACAATTAAGAAAACATTTATACAATGCCGATGAACAATACATATTTACCTAATATTGGTACGTTACCTTATTTAATAACATTAAGTCATTATAGAAACGAATTTGTTTAATCGACTTGGAAAATATTTTTATTATATACTCAGATATGTCAAATTATAGTTATCTGGATAATTAAATGATACAATTACACAAATTCTAGTATATTAAAATATTTATCAATAATTGAAGCAAGTCATTATATTCGATGAATCATTACCTAGAGATAACATTTTTCCAGCAGCAGTAGGGAATCATTATTAGTAATATTTTGTATCAATTGTAAATTCTTGAAATTAATTTATGTTGAAGAACACACAACATTAGCGGGAACATCCCGAGTACGAACTTTACAAGTAGTTTCGTATCATATTCGTGCACGTTAAAACGAAAATGTCACATGATCAAAGATAATAGGGTAATTTTTCCATAGAATTTGTATCATTCCATTCGATCAATCCATGTTTGTGTTTCTGTTTAGATCCAAAATACGCCTTTGAAGCGCTCTAAAGATTCTATGTTAATGCTACAGAGCATAATATGGTGACGTCTATAAAGATTTTATTGAATAATTTTCTAGTCAAAAATATTTTATTGTTTTCTATTATTATCTAAGCTATCAAGGTCAATAAAAATGGTCTAATAAAATTTTAATATGACAAAATAGTTATACATTATAATAATCAACGCACCAATTTTATCGGCCACTTGAAACAGTTTATCGTATTGATAATAAAAGCCGATTAACCTAAGGGCAGTTGATAATTGGAATTTAATTGAAGCTATAATTTTACTAATTTGTTAGACCTTATGACCTCATTTCATTCGTAATTTATTTACATGTGTTCGCACGTAAAACCGTCCACCGTCACAATTGCTTGCATTTAGATTTTAATTTTTTACTACTTACAATAACGAAATAATTTTATGGATGTACGTTGGTTTTTACAACACTTTTTCAATGAATGGGTGTTTATTGTGAAGAATTAGAAAATTTTCCTAGTTCCTATTTTCAAATAAGAGTATTCTAAAAAGCTATACCCATATAATTTTAATGATGTTTTCCAAGAACCTGGTTATCCTATAATCTAATAAAAAGCCCCGGGGACGCCCCACTTTATAGAGCAAACTCATGCTATCAGGGAAAAAGGGTATCCTGTATTACACAAGTAGGCCGGATACAGCTTAATCAACTTTAATCCATCCATGATAATGTAAAAATGGAGTTGTTTATGAAACAATCCATTATTGTTAACTACTTACGCTTTTATAACATTTTAAATATCAATCGAAAGAGATGGGATATCATGGATAAATTTTTGATGAACCCTATAATAGAGAAAACGTAAAAAATGCTGAATCCATATATAATTAACATATTTAACGCATGTATGTATCTGCATTCAGATTCATTTAAACAATTTTTTTCTTTTCAGTTGGACAAGAGTGGAAATGGCTACATCGACATGAAGGAGCTCAAAGACGCCCTTGACGGCGTTGGCTACAAAATACCACAGTGGAAGGTTAGCTCTTAATAATAATAGGGTTATTAGACGAAATTTAATCTATAAGTAATGTGCATATTTAAAAGGCAGTAATTTTTTTAATTTCCCTTGTTAAGGCCTCAGTGTCAACTGTCAAATAATTAAATAGAATTTAAGTAAATGTATGTAACGTATAGTTTTGTCTATTAGAACTTATTAGTTTGACCCTAACCTGCCTTAAAAATAATGAGTATTTTTGAATATTCTACTCTACTCAACTCCACTTTATCTTCTGTTTCCAATCTTTACTTAGAACAATTAAATTGTATGGCCAAGTACGTCATGAACGCGATCAACGATTATAACATAACATTTTGATTATGTCGGTGTGGGTTCAGATCCCTTCCGATGATTAAATGGGTTTTTACGTAATCGATCACTTTTGTCAGAATTTTTGAATACCGGTTTCTACAATATTAATAAGGAAAGGGTATGGGCATGGACACGTAATTATGAAGTATGCCGCGTGATTTAAAAATCGCACATAATAGATATGCAATTTTCTGAAATAAAATAGTAGTAGTATCCTTTTTTGTCAAATTTCTATTGGATTTTGTTTGTAAAATTTTGACCTATTATTTTTTTTATAGTATGGGTTACCAAAACAGATTTATTGGTAATTCTATAATTTTTCGAGTAATAAATTCGAGTTCTAAATCAGTCCTATTAGTCCTCTAATAAACTATTCATCCTCTGTAATCCTAGTACCTTATTTGGATCCTGTGGTGTTTGGCAATGGAATAAATGTAAACCGAAATTATTATCTAATACCATATCATCAAAAAATACGTATATTTGTTTAAGATTTTTATTTACAATTCGATTTGGCTATAGGCTTTTTCCGTCGAATTGATAAAACCACTACGAAGTCCTCGTTCTAGTACGAAATTACTTTATCTATAGGCCTTTCCAACGTTACGTAACGAATAAAACATTTCAGGTGCGTTGTATGATAGAAGAGTACTATGACAACGGTTCAAAGCATGGGCGGGCCAATGGAAGCGTTAACGGCGACTCAAAGAAGAATGGCATGACGCTCTTGGAGTTTGAGGAACTCTGTGGAAACCTCAAAGCACAACAGGTATGTATATATTTTAATTCACAGTAGATTGGGGTAAATTTAGCTCATCATCATTTAGCAATGAAGCAGAGGGTTGTACCCTGTCACTGTACAATATTTACTTTAAAAAAAATTAAAATAGAAAGAGCCTACCTTGTGCTAGCCTAATCATACCTATAGCTAAGTATCTGAATCATATCGTAAGATATGCGTATACTAAATTAATTTTTAATAAAAGACGTCTAACATTGTTATAATTTTGATAAATCGTTTAACCCTTTGACTTTTTAAATTGCGTTTTATTGGTGCAGTACAGAATCAATCAGAGTATTAAAGAACTTAATTCTGGCCCTTAAATAGTCTGTTAAATTAATTGAACTTAATCAATGGATGTTGTCAAAATGTATATTATAAAAAAATATGTTTACCAGTGTCCTAAAACGCCACCAAGCTTAATGATTTTGTATACCCACAGCGAGTTTGCAAACGAAAATATTGATACTAAAATAAACGAAACATATTATTATTATTAATGTTTTACTAAAATAAACGAAACTTATATTATTATTATTAATAACTAATATTCCCTAGATCTTTGAAAAATATTAATTGAATTAAAATAATCTTATATCGTAAAGAAACGTTCGAAAAATATATATTTAACGAAGTATCGGGACTATGTTATAAAAAATAGAGATAGATTAACGCGTAGAATCCGGTAAAAGTTATGATCTATCATCTATGATTCCCTCTGCTTCGAAGTAACAACGTGGCTTTAAAGTTGACGTTACAAAAAGGGTTTTAAATAATGACGAGCCGTTAGCGAATACAAAAGTGAGGCCTTCAGGCATTTACTGAGGCTTTCACGCTAAAATAAATATTTTTGTTATATTCGCACTTTTTAATAGTGACGTTTTGTCTGGATTCAACTGTGGTGTTTTGTGTGAAATATTTTAAATTTAAAAGTGCTGTGTATAAGGCAAAGTTACAGGTGATTTTTAATGTATTGTTCGGCAGTTGTTTTTTGTTAAAAGGTTGACAGAATAGGGAAGTGTATCACACCGTTTTAACATTATGTATAAGGTATAAAAATGTTTTTTTTTCTCTCTGTTTGTTGTAATGTTTTCATTTCGTATTGTATAAGGAATATAAAATTTGTACTGTAGTGTCACCAAGGTTTAAAGTTTAAACCCTTTAGTCGTTTTTTGGTGTTCTCTGTATTTTTAGTTTATTTATAATATATTAAGCAATTACAACTGAATTATTTTTATGAATAAGATCTATAAATTAGGAATTCTGTATTAAAGTATCATACACAGCGCATTTGTTTTAATACTTCATTGGTTCCTTCAAGGAACACATCCAAGTACAAAAGTCTAAATTATTGGTTGTAAATTTCAGGTTGCGAGTACATTCAAGCAGGCAGTTAGTAAAAAGGAGAACTTAGAACATCTAGGTGGAATGAGCGAAGCGTCCAGTGACGGTATGTTCAGCATTTTGTTTGAGAAAAGCATTCAAGTGAGAATATTACGATGATTAAAATATAAGTCTAAAATCGAACTTGTTGTAATTAAAAAAAATATAAAAATTAATATTAATATCCTTAAAAAATGAATATTTTCAGTTGACTTATTATTTTGTCCAAATTCCAGGCACAACCCATTCAGTGCGTCAGGAAGAACAGATGGCCTTCTCAGGATGGATTAATAGTAATCTGGAGCATGACCCTGACCTAGCACATCTTTTGCCCATAGACCCTGAAGGCAAACAGCTCTATGAGAAGCTGAAGGATGGATTGATTCTATGGTAAAATATTCATATAAAATTCTCTACGAATGCACATCTTTTTGGACCATTTCAACATACATTATGAACGTACGGCGTTTGATTGACCGTTTCTGTATGTGACATGTTAAAAACGTATTGTATTAAATGTCAGATATAGTTCGTGCTAAATCTCATTTTTTAATTTTAGCTATGGCTTGTATGTAATTCCTTATCACCCTGTACCCAGTTCTGCAGAGTACCCAGGACCACATTACCTACTAAACCATGCCCCATAAATGTAACTCTTTAGTATTTTAATTATCTTTACTATCTATGCCATGACATGCTGAAGGTTCATTGTTGATAGCTAATGATAAATGATAATAATTTAGACATGAAGTTAACTTATGTAAAATTTTGTAAATTCTTGCTTTTATCAACTATATGCAGTTCCTTATACAATAACAAGAATATGTTTAAGGAAAACATCATGCGCTATCTTATAAATAGTGTAATTAAGCTTCACATATTAAAACCCACTGATTTTGTACTAATGACAATTAAAAGACAAGAAATATACATCCTATTGACTATTGAATGTTTTCGAAAATAAATGCGATAAAAAGCAGTGGCGTTACAACCTTTTTCGGTCTGGGCCTCAGATATCTGTATCTGTTTCGTGATCATTGTTTTCCGTGAACAGCCTTCTGAGCCTGACATATGCCGTCGACTTTTTGGGTCTAAAGCATGCCGGTTTTCCTTCACCATACAAGCATCTGTTAAATACGCACATAGACAGAAAGTCCATTGTTTCACAGACTGGGATCGAACCTACGACCTAAGGGATAAAAGTCGCACGCTGAACACTGAAGAGTGTCATAACGTTTCGTTGACCTAAATAATATTTTTAAAAATCAGTGGCGCTACAACCTCTTTAAGTCTTGGCCTCAGATTTCTGAATCTGTTTCATGATCATTTTTAAATCTAATAGGCAAGTAGGTGATCAGCCTCCAGTCATCTGACACACGCCGTCGACTTTTTGGGTCTAAGACATGTCGGTTTCCTCACGATGTTTTCCTTCACCGTTCGAGCAAATGTTAAATGCGCACATAGAAAGAAAGTCCATTGGTGCACAGCCGGGGTTCGAACCTACGATCTCAGGTATGAGAGTCGCACGTTGAAGCAACTAGGCCAAAACTGCTCCAAATTATATTAAACAACTTTGAATATTATTAGTTCAGCGGCTTACTTACTAATTAAACCTAACCTAACACCTGTTGATATACCTAAAGAACTTACAAGTGCTAAAAAATATAGTTATATTTATAATATTTTTTTGAACATGATATTGCAGCAACTGGTCAATCATGGATCAAGATTTGCTAAACCAATATTAATGTCGGTGAATTCTATATAATAATTGTATTAATTACAGCAAAGTAATCAACCATTCCTGCCCGGACACGATTGATGAACGAGCGATTAACAAGAAAAATCTTACCCTTTACACAAAGCACGAAAACCTAACCCTTGCGTTGGTCTCTTCACAGGCGATTGGTTGCAACATTGTTAACATTGATGCACACGATCTTGCTAAAGGTACATTATTATTTTTTGTGTAAAAAAGTCGTTTATAAAGACGTGTTTTGTTTCTTAAACGAACATTCACGACAAGAAGGGATATAAACTTAGCAAATATATTACTAACTTGATATTAGTTACATTTTTTACCGTGCTGTGGTAGATTTGATATTAGTAAAACCAAAATAGTCCAACGATGACGATTTTTCTACAGATCTCACGTTCGACTGTTATTCTGTTATAATTTAAATATGGAACTGAAGAATTAATGTACGTTTTAAAAACGTTCTAAACGTCCTAAAATGCGTTCGTAATACTTGAACGCTCCCTTAATGCACACAAGGAGTTTTGTTGTAACTTATTTATATTTCACCATTTGATTCTTTATTCTATTAATTTTATAGGTAAACCTCACCTTGTGCTTGGTCTACTGTGGCAGATTATTCGTATCGGTCTTTTCAACCAGATCACACTTGAGCACTGTCCTGGTCTTACGGAACTTCTTAATGACCAGGTATGTATAAGATATGGCTACTATGTTTATTAGTTTTAAGCTGGTTTGGGATGTTTGTTCGAAATTTAAAAACGTTAATACACTTTATGTAGTATCTCCTTTTTTGATAGAATTTTTTTTCGGTATAATTGTCGATAAGTTTTTTAAAGACTTGGGTAGTGTTTCTCACTACTGTAAAGCCATGGCTGGACCATGTGGGCTTTAATTATGATAGATCCAGACAACAGATATGTCCTCTGGTCTTGAAAAACATTATTTAGAATATCCATACATAACTTCCTCCATACAAAAAATATCCAGAGAAATGTTGTCAGTGGCCTTGAAAAATATAGAAAGAAAGTTTCTAAAACTATAAAAAAACTTACATGTTAATACTCAAACTACGATTATTAAACGAAATGTGCGCTTATAATGAAAGAAGAGAGGACGGCAGTATAGATGACGTAAACAATAATTTTGTTTAACCCATGTTCATTAATACAATTCGTAGTTATAAAATTTGCTCTTAAAATCCATAAGCATTATCGCTTAATCTTAACTTTACACGGAAACGTCACGAAGATGTGCAGCGTTTTTGTCGAAGAAAAGCGAAAGACCGATTAGAGAGTGAGAAGGGCGAATTACCTAATAGAAATTATATTTTTAAACTTAAAATTTCGTAAAAAAAAATTGATGAAATATTAGTATTTTATATTTTATGCAAAATAGTTTATTGTCGAAGAATTTATACTTTTATTATCGAAGAAATAAACTAAAAAAGTTAAATTTATAATTTGTATTAATTTTCGACACTTTTAATATTTTAATAACAATTAAATTCATTAAATTTCTAACATATCTTCCTTTTTCCCTCCCTCTAAGTCTCGGAAATCTAAAGTTTTCGATTTGTATAAATATGAACAAGAATTAAAAATTAGTTTGCCTAAGAAGTTTCACTTCTGACATGTGAACTTTGTACGCACTTTTTTTTACTTATTTATTAATTTTTAACCAACTTCATTTACCTCTAGGAACGTATTGAAGACCTGTTGGCCCTATCACCTGAAGCCATCCTCCTCCGTTGGGTGAACCATCAACTGCAATGTGCTGGTGTTACTCGCCGCTGCACCAACTTCCAGCAGGATGTGTCTGACTCCGAAATATATTCATATCTCTTGAAGCAGATCGCCCCAGATGATGCTGGAGTCACGTTGGATGCGCTTAGAGTGAGTTGTTTGAATCTTTATTTTTTATTTTAAATATACCTATATATATAAAATTTACTACGTTTTTTATTTTTACTTAACAGATATAAGGTATTAAGGTAGATTTTACACCAAACGTAGGTAAGTAATTTGACCTATATATCTTAACGAGTAATCGTCGCATGTTTAATCCTTCTGGGCTGAAATTGAATCACTGAATTGCGCGGTAAGCGAGAACCATGGAAATTCTTATTTTTATTTTACTATGCGCAATCTCTTAATTTGTACAATTCGTCACTTATATTAAGTGAAAGGACAGCGAACATGTTTCTTTCATTTAATTTTTGAAGCAAGCGTTCCGAAATAGATTGTCTATTTCAGAACGCTTGCTTCTGCAATGCTCAGTTTTAATCTCTTGAAGAAAATAAGTTGGCTTCAGAAGTTCTTTTCCTACAGATACATTATTCCCCCAACCCTGCGAAATCTGGTCAATTTATCGAGACTAATACTATACTATAATTTGGTTAACAGGAAACAGACCTCCTCCGTCGTGCAGAAGTGATGTTACAGCAGGCAGCTAAGCTCCGTTGTCGTGCGTTCGTGGCTCCTGCGGACGTTGTCAACGGAGTCTATAAACTCAACTTGGCCTTTGTGGCCAATCTGTTTAACCAACATCCGGGATTGCAGAGGAACGAAACAGATGCTGATACATATCACCAGTTAGATGAGACCAGAGAGGAGAAGAGTGAGTGACTGTACTTATACGTTTAACTACATTGATACGTTTTAGACAGAATGGTTCTTTCACCTATTTTAAATTGATATTAAAAGTTTCTGTTGATATTTAAAAAAATATGCATAGCTCATGCTGCTAACGTGTTCACATAATAATAGTTAAATAAGGATAAATAAAATTTTGATTGTTTATTTTTGTAGTTTCGCACTTGTTGCATGTTCATTCTTTTATACAGTTTTTCTTACCTACAATAGTTGGTTGGAAGAGGTCGCTTGTATACGATTAGCGTGTTTCAGTAATAATCCTATATTAAACTTCCTTCTATAGAAAACCATGTGACACTACATATTTGCATAGGATTTTAAATGGGAATTGGCTTTCATTTACTAAATGTTTGTATTTCAGCATACCGTAACTGGATGAACTCAATGGGCGTGGCACCGCACGTGAACTGGCTTTACTCAGATTTAACCGATGCGCTTGTCATCTTTCAGCTTTATGACATTATCAAACCTGGTATTGTCAACTGGAAGAAGGTAATTTTTTGTTGTGTTTGTCTCTCTATACTTATTCTATTTTTATATACATAAATCAAAAGATTCAGCGTTAGAAAACCACTCGGCATTAAAAAAATACTTACGTAATTTTAGAAATGATCTATTTATAAAATAATTATTTTCTTAGGTGAAGAAAACTATTTCTAACACCTGCTTATACGCTTGAATCTATGCTGTAAGAGAATCAGAGTAGCAGTTTTATTTTTGTTTACAAGCATTATATATTTTTAGTTTTTTCTTAGTATCAATATAATGACGTAACAGTATTGTCGACAACGAATCACGACGAATCCGGACGTCACACCGATATTATGCCTCCTCCAGGATAAAAATATTTTTACGACGGTAAAATAGTAAATTTTTTTTACAATACAGACAGAATGTCTTTAGGAGATTTCGTTACTTTGGTTAGTTTTTTGGTACTTAAACTAATTTCAGGTTCACCGTCAATTCTCGAAGCTTCGTAAATTCATGGAGCGTCTAGAGAACTGCAACTACGCAGTTGAGTTGGGACGTCAACTTGGATTCTCACTTGTCGGTATCGCTGGGGCTGACATCAACGAAGGAAACGCAACACTCACGCTTGGTAAGTTTCTTCTTAAGATGAAATTTTTACAAAATACAACACGCCTAATTATTAATATTACCAAATACCAACATTTTATAATAACAAGATTACACGTTTTCCGCTTTAAAAACACCATTTGTCGCTACTCCTTCTTGGAAGACACTCTCCTTAAAGCCTCTAAAAAGCTTGGTGTGCACATCACTCCGGGCTACCGCTTGCAACTATTTAAACCGCAAATTCGGCCCCTCGTGGAGTACTGTTCTCACCTCTGGGAACTCCCAAGTACCAACTCGTTGCATTTGACCGTTTTCAAGAAAGAGCGATTCGTATCGTCGACGACCAGTCACTTTCCGAGCGGCTTGATGCTTTGGCGTTGCGTGGCGTCTGTCTTCATCTTCTACCGCATTTACCATGGAGAATGTTCAGCCTTGCGATTCTGTAACTCACTTTTCGAACACACACAGCGGTTTTCGCAGCGGCGGTCGCGCTAATAAACAATAAACTACAAGTTCCCTCCTTATCAGAATGCCAAATCGTAAAATGACTGCTTCACGACTGATTTGAGCGCGACCGCCGCTGCGAAAACCGCTGTGTGAGTTCGAAAAATGAGTTACAGAGTCGCAAGGCAGATGACAAGACAGAATACGAAATACCATATATATTGAACCGTTATTTAAAAAAGAAATATTATGATAAGGTGAAAGCAACTGTAACGTTTCTTGCGGCGGTTATGAAAGTTTTTTTCGATGTTCTTGCCTTGAGTGGGACGATGACCCTAGGTGAATGACCGGGATAGTTAGTTACCGTGAAAGTGTAAAATTATGTTTTATCTTTTTAGCTCTAATCTGGCAACTTATGCGTGCATACACACTGTCCGTGTTAACGCGATTGGCGAACACTGGCAACCCCATAATTGAAAAGGAGATCGTGCAGTGGGTCAATAACAAACTACAAAGCGCTGGCAAGGCCTCGTCTATTAGGAGTTTCCAGGTATTTGATTTATTAGACATTCGAGTTCGACAATGAAGTGTAGAACATTTTGAGATTTTGTAACTAAATAAGACTCGTTATCCATACAAGAGCTTTTGTATAGTTTTTTTTTGCTCTCATTTTGACTCGATATGAAAACAGATTTTTATTTATCCTAAAAAAGTTACAAAAATACAGTTTTAAACCATAATTGTGTTCATACCCAATTATATAGCTATAAACAAGTTTTTCACAAATTTTTTGGGTTATTAACACTATTTCTTTTAGGATGAAGTACTTGCAGACGGCAAAGTGGTGCTCGACCTCATAGATGCCATAAAGCCTGGATCAATTAACTACGATCTTGTATTGCCAGGGGCGAATAAAGAGGTAATTTTTATATATTTTCCTAATCTTCAATAGTAATAAAGTTTTAGTTTTGTAAAGTTGTGTATACTTTGAAGTGGTATTTTCCCAAAATATACAGAACATTCCTACCTATTTGCATCGTTCCTGCATTCTAATCAGTGTGCAATCTAAATTAAAATGTACTTTTCGCCTGAAACCGATTTCCAATTTTTGTCAATTTCCGTTTCAAGAGCAGTATAGTGCACATTAATAAAAATAATATCTATTTACCTGATAACACAATAAAAACAGCATTATTTAAAATATGAAATAAATACCGCCCCTTGCCTAATAACTTATGTAACCTTTTTATATGTATGTTTATGGTAACGAAGTGTAAATATCTTTGACATGTTTCAGGAATGTTTAGCGAACGCGAAATACGCGGTATCAATGGCAAGGCGTTGCGGTGCGCGCGTATACGCATTACCCGAAGACATAACCGAACGCAAGCCCAAGATGATCATGACGGTCTTCGCGTGTCTCATGGCCCTCGACTATATCCCAACTATGGACGCGCCCGTGGCCCAGTGAGTATGACGATTTTGTGGGTTGACATTTCTTATATATTATCAACTATGTCAACCCTTTAATCGGGTCTTTGGGAGCATAAAATGCTATATGTCATGCCATATTAGCGATATAAATGTAATCGCTTATGTCACTTTTGGGTTTGTTGGGAGCGTGGGTATAATAATATATCGTATGTTCGATAGCAAAAAAACATACCATCTATTATTAATGCCCTCTTCAAAGTTTTTGTCATTATGAATCTGTTTCAAGGTTTTTTATCGAAATCTTAATCTTGAAGCAGCGTTCAAAGGGTTCATCTGCGCAAGATTTTTGTTTTATATCACAAATCAAACGCAGTTATGTACAGAATCGCTTTTTAAAAAATAAGCCTAAATTGTAATACTTGATCACCTTATAATAAAGTTATTTGTCATTTTAAAATACGGATTAGAAACATTTTCGCTTTTAGTATTTTTAAATATCAAAATATTATTGGCAAATAACATTATTTTTCGGTATACAAATGTACTTTGTATACGTAATAGGTGAAGGTCACTGTATAAAATGCACTTTTCAACTAAGAATCTTATTTCTCTTTCGGAATACCTTCATTTGCACTAGATAATGTGAAGCTAACTTTATCTTATTTTTTTCAATGTAAGCCTAATTGAATTCCTTTTCACACGAAGTTAATAAAAAACATACATGAATACAGCACTTTGAAAGTCTATATAATCAAAGAAGCCATATTAAAGTTAATTTATACGGTGACCGTGTGTCATTGTGTCTCGAGTATTGGCGGGTGAGCGCTAGTTTAGTATAATCGCCTATTTATAGTATAGGGCCTGGACTAGGCTCTTAGACCATAAGAATCAATTACCTATTACATTATACGTCTTACGTTTTAGTACTTATTATTAGATTAAATGTTTTTTATACATTTTTACAACGAGTATTGAATAAGATTTTTCGAATTCATGACATTAGTATTCTTATTTTTGGGTCCAATTATGATTTTTAAATAGAGCAACACTGATTCTTGAAATAAATGTACATTCCCTTGTTAATCGGCATTCCTTCTGCATTTCATGTAATTCTTAATTGTATATCCTTAAGTTACGTGAGAGTATTTTTTAGAGATTTTTTAATATTACATTCCTATGGGATACAACGATTTATTTTGATTAATTGTATAGTTTTTATTTTGTTAAACATTTTATTGAGTATTTTTATCAAATAAGTTTTTTATTCAATTAATATGGTAATTTATATCGATGTATTCGTACATTACTTGTATTAAGCTACTCGCTAGCCATTATTAACATATAAATAAATTATGATGTAAGGCTATCAATAAAACATCGGAATTGATAAATGCTTTTATTTATTCACATCACAATTCTATCATTCTGGAATATTCTTTTTCTTTACTATCTATTACGTAACATGGGGAAAACTTCCAAGAAGTTTTATAAAATTCTATATGTTTAGAGATTCTATCATACAAGGAACTATTGACCGAGTCTTCAAGTTTTCTTTACACGGTACACAATTGTCCTTTAATTTTCAATTAGACTAAAATACAAGTGGGCGCTTAAAATGGCTGGGATCATGTGGTATTGAGTAAAACGGAAATAAAAATGCAATTTTATTCGATACAATTCATTGCTATGGGTTTTCATCTTCTATGTTGTGTCCATGTGTAAATGTTGTGTGGCTTTGGGAGAATCACATTATTGTTATAAATTTCAATTAATATTCATAGTCACGAGGCACCTTTTATATGTGTTTAAATATTTCATCACTTTTTCTCATCCTCTATAGCTATACCAGCGAATTTATTATGATCTTAGTCATAAGACCTTGAAGACGTACTTATAAATATACCTTTTCCTATGTGAAATAAATCAAACTTGTTTCTATTATATGAAAGGGTAAATCTTGTGCCATCTATGCGGTTTGTTTATATCCCGGTATGTGATTATCTTAGTGAAAACATTGATTAAGATAATCCAAGGTTTTTATAAGGCACAACTATGAAGTGTTCCAACTTCAAATACCCCTTAATTATTTATTATACACTCGGTTTGAGAGGTAAATTCAAATTTGCTTCAAAAATACATTCAAGTAGTATCTATCAACTTTAGATTTTTGAGTATTAAAACTTTTTGACATTTCAGTTATAGCCACGATTGGAGCTTATAGATGTTTGATAAAAAAAAACTACAGAATCGTGCGTTTGTTAAAGAAAAAAAAATATTGCTTAAAGTATCACCTAAATAAATGTACCTCCCAAGACTTTTAATTCCCCCTAAATTTAGGGGGAAATCCCCAAGTTGGCACCACTGTGTTGGCACTACAAGCTATTGACTTCCGTTCGTTAATTTTTTATTTAGGCCAGAGCCCGAAATGCCACTAGAACCCGTGTTACTGGATGGCGCTGCGGAAACGACCGATGAACCTGAAGATATTTCCAGTCCACAGACTCCTGAAAAGCCAATGTTACCACCAAAACCAGAGAGCCTTTCACGAACTGTGTCTACCACAGAATAACATAAAACAGTTTTTATGCCAAATGAGTTATATTCTGTCTGTGGAAAGAGTACCATCGAGGCGGTTGTGAAAATGTGATGTCAACATAACTAAAAAGGGATTTAGCACTGCTTAAACCTTAAATTTTACGATAGTTTTCTTTCCGTTCAGACTAATTCTAAAAACACGTAAGTACATATAGTGTGAATATATTAAGGACATTTTAAATATGGGACTTGATGTATATGTATATTTTGAGCTTAGTAGCCCACTTCAGAGAATTAGATTTTTTTACTTTAATAAAAATTTTATCTTGTCATTTATTTATTAAGAATTAAATAATATTTTTTTACTAATTGTTTTAATGGACAAACAAATTGTTCACACAATTGTGGGAAAAATAAAAGACATGAAATAAAATTGTGATGATTTAATTCCATCCATAGGCATAAACAAAAACTGGTCAATTGTACATACATTATTAATTGAGAGCTAAAATTATTAAAATTACATTCCATACCCATTCTAGCAACAATAAATTACAACCCAGTTCCCATACGTTACAAGATTTCACATCCGTATCCGTAAAATATAGGAACCAGTGTCGTATGCACCAAGTTACCAAACAAATGTAGAAATAAACGCATTAACGATATAAAAATAACCATCCGTGCACAAAATATGTACATAATTTACAAAATTATTCCCCCTTTTAAACGTTTGTATTCTACGTCAATCGGTAATTTGGAATGTTTATTAATTATATTACGATAAATATACAATTTTGATCTAGTTCGTGAATTAATTTAAACTAATTATTGCTTAATACAATTTCAACTTTTCAAATAAAGTATCGACATTCGTCAAAAAAATATAATACAAGTTTCTGGCTTAATACGGAGATTTTAACCATAGATGACACATTTTCTATTTCTTAACTTTACACTGACAATTTGTATGGAAAAAAGTTCGGTGCGTAACAATGGCAAGGTTTTAATACAAAAATACTAATAGCAGTGCGTAAAGAGATGAACAAATATTGCATCCCGCTCTCGTTCACTGTATTATAATCGTTCCCTCTCTATCATACCGACACATTAGTTTAATAAAGGCAAAGTATATTCTCAGAATTTCGAAATTGCATCAATCAAGTGCACAGTTCACACTTAATCACCTCATCTATAATTGAAACCTCTGATTAAATATTCAAATATCCAATGGGCCTACCATATCAACATTAATATAAATTTATAATCGATCCCGCACTGAAATAACTTGGGAAAAATTGGGGATATATACAGAATTTCAGCACGAGCCGTCTTTAATTGTACTAATTTACGCAACATAATTCCAATAAATTTCAATTTTCGTTCAATAAGTAAAGCTTTTGTAAGAAATCACAAGGCTAGCTAACATTTCAGATAATAACCCTTCAAAGAATATTCTAAGGAACAAATTTAATGAATGTGATAACTACTTGAGACGTTATTATCGTCCAACTGACGGTCACGGGTTTGATTATTGACGAAACAATATAAAATGAAATCGTGTTCTCGATTAGAGAGTTGAGAAAATTCCAAGTTCTTAAACAAATAATGAAATTGCGTCTCAAATAGCGTTCACAAGACCATCAAATTTGTCCACTCCACGTACAAAACTCCCTCAGCACTCCATCCACAAAATATCACATAGTCCCTAATGTTGGATTACAGTATTTCCATCAATATAAACAACGGTTTATTTGCAATTCAATCACAAATATAGCAAATCACCACGATGAACAGTCCAGACAGAATTGCAATATCGCCGAAAAATCAACCACACAACGACCGACATTCATACCTGAAGTAAAAAAAAATAAAATAAAAAAAATTGCAATTACGTCCGTTTACATATGATAAGCAATAACACGCTGGTATTTAAACATTCGAGCTACAATTTCCATAATTTTTATAAAAATATAAAATTATATCACGTATCAAAATCTATTTTTGTAATGTGTCCACATGTATTAGCCATGTATATATGTATGTTTGAATACCAGCTGTTCCATATAATGTATTGCCATATGGAGGCGTTATATATAAGCGGCAAATAGTTACATATTTGAGGTAAGGGTAATTGGTTCGTATAATAAAATTAAGTAACATATACAAGATATATGGCAGAATCACGCCTCCGATAGATATCGTCAATTGTTCTTGAATTTTCAATAGATCTAATAAGACTAGAATTCAATAAACGCATAGTTTAAGCCCATATACCACACGCAAATAATGATTATGATATATAAAAAATATGTTTTGATAATGAATGAAAAATTAGTAGTTATATACAGTATGCTTTTATAATATCCAGGAACTTGCCAAAGGTAGAAAATATACCACACCATTTTAAATAATACGTATACATACATAAACACTTAAATCTATTTATGGACTTAAACTTACTTTGATTTATAAAATTCATAGTTTTTGGAATTTTTGTTCCAATAATCCAAGATTGCTTTGTGCAAAATTTCAATTTAACTAAAAACTTTATAAATCAAGCACTAGGCGTGTTCGTTAAATATGAAGGCTGAAAGACTAAAACGCGTATTTAATTCTAACTTGCACTCGCGAGATCTGTCAGAGACGTCAAAAACACACTAAACTCAGAAATCACTCACTAAAACATACTCAAAAAATGTTCTTATACGAAAACAATAGTAACAGGTAAAATACGCGTTTAAATCCTTTATTCGTGTGTGCATTACCTGTCGTGATGTTTGTCAAGTAGATACTCTTTGAGCCGCCGCACGAGGTGTTCTGAAAGTTGCGTCACTTCCGGCCATTGCTTTAGGACCATAACGCCTACCATCACCACGAGACTCGTTGTAAGGACTCGGACCCTGTAAAGTAATATCATTTATATATGGGCGAGAAAGCCAAACAAACACAAATCATTTATTCATGTAGGTAACACAATGTACACTTATGATTTTCATAACAAACAAAATATATACATTAAATGCTTCTAATTTTACATTTACTGCCAGTTCTCAAATCAAGGGCGTAGAACGGAAGAGAAGAACTGGCAATAAACTCTCCGCCACTCTTTTTAATCGCCATGTTTTTGTTTTACACACCGTTTGTAAGGAGCTGCAACCATTACACCATGTTCCACATGACATTTTAAGTAATAAATAACAATAAAATAAATTACACTGCCTGTTACACTCAGGTTTTGGATGAATTGCCGAATTTTATATTTAGTGTTTTCTTGTGTGCAAAGAAGTGTAATAAACTTGTATTAAAAAATATATATACATATATTTTCTAAGCAACATTGACCTGTTTTTGCAATCAATGCCACAAATCAGGCAAGAATATTATGAAAATAGTTTTATATACATATTTGAATTATTCAGTAAGCCAAAAATAGCCGTATTTATTGATAAAGTTTCAGTTAGACGGAACGCACATCACGCTATTTTTATGGTATTTTATGAATAAAATCCCCATTACACAAATAATGCGTAAAATATTCACTAATTTCATTATTTAATATAAAATATCCATTGTTTAATATAAAATCGTATTTTAAATTATCTGGCGGATTTTAGGCATTATATAGAACAAAAATTATCTAAGTCATTATTAAACTACTATTATATAGCAGATTTATTAGAGTGCCTTACACTAGTCTTATTAAGTGACAATAATAAATTCCGCTTTATACACTTTAAAGCTGTATTAAAAGTTAGTTAAACGTTTATTTATACTATTTAGGGAGCGTTCAAGTATTACGTAACGCAATTTTTAAAGATTTTAGAAGCTCCCCCCCCCCCCATGTAACGCACCATAATGTTTTTCTGTTGCCAATTAATCCCCCAGGTTTTTTTTAAATAAAAATGATACGTAACGCGTTGTTTAAATAAAACCCCTCCCGCCCATGTAACGCACTGTAACGTTTCAAAACTCCCCCCTCCCCCCAAGTTGCGTTACGTAATACTTGAACGCTCCCTTATTATATTTTAAGGATAAATTTAAAAACAGAGCTAGGACTATACCTGGTCCTCAAGAAGGGCATAGCCACGCCCGCGACCGTAGCCACCAGCAACAGAGCCAGCTGCAACAGCGTGAGCGCCACGTTGAGCAGCTTCACCACCACCACCCGCGGGGGCAACGCCGCTCCTCCCGCCTCACCACCCCCGCTACCTACGCCTCCCGCGCCTCCACCCGCCATCCATTGCTCCAGCTTGCTGATCTAGAATAAAAATATCGTTTGCTAGTTTGTACCAAGTTATATCTGTTAAAGTTTTTTGATTTTTAAACCACTATTTCATATTGATAACGATAATAAATATTTTCTACAGATCTTGTATCTATTTTAGTTTAAATCTTTATTTATAAAACTTAACTTTTAATATGACAAACGACTTTAAAAATACAAACTTACAAATGAAAAAATGCGACTTGGCATGTAATAACAATCATGAATGTTCTATTGTAACTTAGTTTTTTCATCTTGCGGTTATGTTTGTAAGATATTTTTATTTTTAATGATAAATATATTTTAATTTAAATACATTTTGTATTAAGGTTAACGTACAAATAAGATATTTCAATAAATCATAATAAACTTTATAGAAAAATATGTTTGTGACAAAATTGATCTGATGCTAGTCCCCACACTAGACTAGACCCTGTGTTGTGGGTAACTAGATTACAGCTCTTCCGTGGTACATAGTGCATGTGTAAAACAAAAGTAAAGTCTTGGTTAAAGTAAATTTTAAGAAAAAGTAGCCTTAATGTAAAATCTAGTTAAGTAAGCGTAAATTCATGAGTATGTGAATGGGTATGTGTGCGAAAAAGTTTAACTGTGTGTGTGGGCTGTCTGGGTTAGTTTTTGTCTGTCTGTATCCAGATATAACCTCGGAGTATGGAGCAGTGTTGGCCTAGTGGCTTCAGCGTGCGACACTCATCTCTGAGATCGTAGGTTCGACCCCGGCTGTGCATTAATGGACTTTATTTCTATGTGCGCATTTAACATTTGCTCGAACGGTGAAGGAAAACATCGTGAGGAAACCGGCTTGCCTTAGACCCAAAAAGTCGACGGCGTGTGTCAGGTGACTGGAGGCTGATCACCTACTTGCCTATTAGATTTAAAAATGATCATGAAACAGATTCAGACCACAGACAGAATCTGAGACCTAAAGAGGTTGTAGTGCCACAATTTTATTTTTATTTTGTATATCTGGATACTATTATCTCGGAATCAGGAGATATTACTAAAAAGAAAGAAAAAAAAAATTACCTTAGTTTGACAGAGGTCTAATGCTTCATGTATATCTCGTATCCGCTCTTCGCTCTGATACTGTACTTTTTCTTCTACATCCGTCAGTGCTTGCTTTAAATTTTCCACCTGAAAAAATTATATTTCTTCGTTAAGATAAAACAACTAATTCAAAAAATGTCGAATATAGTTTGTACACAATTGATAACGTTAAGTATTTAAAATGGTCTGAAACGAAAACGTTAAAAAAGGTGAAAATTGTTTGTTCTTTAATTAATTAAATTAGTATACAATAGTAAAATTAGGTTCTTTGATTTTGATAGATCTTGTGGAAACTATGTTTGAATAAAATTAATATGAAACAAAATCGAATTTCTTAGATTTAAACTTTTCACACGATTATATAAAAATCACTTTCGAGAGCAACGCTGAGCCCGTAAGCTCCAGTTTGACAACCACATAAAGCATAGCCAACCTATATGTTTTCATGGGGTCTATGCTAACTATTTAATCGTACGACTATTTATTAACCTCATTTTGGTGCAATTCAGTTAAGTCGTTGATTTGTTCTTCAAGCCTCTCCGTCTTAAACCTTTCTTCTTGCAGCGCGGCCGAAAGAAACGATACTTCTTGCGTTAAGTTCTGAAAGTATATAATTTTCATTATTAGAAACTTAAAAATATTTGAAAATTTACGTTGTTATTTTTCCCTTTCTGGTTTGCTAGTCTGATAATTTTTTTTTTTTTAAAACGAGTTATTTTGGACAGGATTACTGACTTTACTTAAAGTTAAATCTTATATATTTAAGAAAACTATGATAGAGGTAAAATATAACGATATACCTTTAATGCATCTATTTTCTCAGTTAACCTCTGGTAGTCTTCCCTGCGCTCGCGCAGTTCATTGAGTATTGGCTTAAGGCTAAACGTTGCTTCCGACATGTTGTTTGAACCCGCTTGCGCTGGATATCTGAAACACAATTAAGTATGAAGGCACTAACAAGATCTGTCTTTATTTTTACACAATAATAAAAAATTGGCATACATTTTATTTCTTACAATATAAACATTTTTATGGCCGATTTAATACTAAATTGTAAGCAGAACAATACCAACCATATAATTGGTTTTCCTACTGATGACAAAGTATGATTGTAAAAGTTAGGTTAAGCAAAACACTGTAGAACTTGATCAGTCAAGTTATGAACTCAATCCAGCTTCATATAAAAATGACAAAACAAGATAAGCTTTATCTTAATCAAGTTAGATTAACAAAAAAATAATCTGTGTTGAGGTGAAGAGATACGATATGTACATTCAAGTAAATAAATATTATGCCTTCTACTGCAAACAAAATTTGACTCTCGACAATATGCTGCTTCTATTTCAGACAGAGAAACCCGACATAAACGCTTTAATACAAATCATTAAACACCATCTAAAGAAACTTTAAAAGAAAATTACATTATAATATAATAATATATGGTCGGCAAGATATGCTCTGTAAATTTGTGTCTACCTTCATTAAATATTTATTTAATTGCTCGTATAAGTTAAAGATTAAAAATATAAATTCTACGTACGGTGCTCCCTCACTAGTAACCGATGAACTAGGCGAGGCATCAGGTGAGTACTTGGGCGCTGGGGATGTAGCGGCGCGGGGCAGAGTAGACCCGCGGGGTGCGTTCTCGCCCGCTTCGGATGTGCGTGACCCTTCCGATGACGCGTTCGCTGCGTTGTAGGCACACTCAATACGGGGTAGATAAATCTTACAGGGCTACCCCGTGGATTCATACAAATAGCAGGGTTAATAGTTAATATGTTTAGTGTTATAAATGTATCTTATAATTTACTTAAAGTTACCTAAAATGCCTTATGTATGTGTAACTTGAAACGTTGACGGCTCAAAAGAATTTCTTGTATATTTTTGGTAAACAAATACTTTTCGTGTATCACAGTAAAATGCTCGCCTGTATTACCACTAAGTAAACTTACGAATTACGCAATACAAATATTTAACAAGAAAAAGTATAACGTAAGCAAAACCTTATATATTTTTGTTTTTGCAAACTTCACTGGAATTCAATATATAAATGTAATCAGTTAAAGCTATTAACAGTGCTATAGAGATTAAGAAAGAAATTTAACGAGATTAACGGATAATAAGATTAAAATAAAAAAAGATTAAACAGAACAGAAATACTGCACTATTAGGCAAATTTACACATATAAGTTTATTCATGATTCCTATAATTATAGAAAATACGATCGTGTTGAGAAAAATTAAAAATATATACATTTTTAAATTTAAGATGTTACTTTGATGTTGGTGTATTTGTTATTAAAGTATGTAATTAATAAGCGTCGGCAACATATTCATTTTATGAAATTTCAGTGACACAAGGACAAAACACAAATATATATTTACCTCGTAATTCCGTGTGCTGGGGCGCTAGCGTGCAAGAATGACATAATATAAGCAACATGATTGAGATAAATACATGAACACAATGGGATACTCTCGAAGCAAGAAATGACTCGAGTCGCAGTTAATTTTAAACATAGTAACAAAATTGTCAATTCGAACTTCGAATCACATCTTGGTCGATTTTTTAAATTGACGTTCAAAATATGGAACTAGGCTAGTTCTAATCGGTGTGACGAATTTCTGTAGAAATTTGCGTGAAAGTTAAAATGGTCCAAGATCCCAGGGCCGCCAGACGTCACGTATTTTCTGACGGATGAAATGTGGACGATTGGGTAGTGTTAGTATGTACTATGATTGTATGCCTACCTGCTAGCTTGGTCAAACGGCCAATTTCCAGGTATCAGGTAATCAAGGTACACAAAAACATTACTTACTTCACGTAAATTCTCATGGCTGATTTTTATATATGTTTTCGAGTGTATAGTTAAAAATAAATTGTCAATACTCCCAGACACTTTCCGTCGGCCATATTGCTTAACAGACGCTTTAAGGGTCTCAAAATAATTAGTCAACTTCACGTAAATTCTGACGCTCCATTTTTATATATGTTCATCCGACAACTATTTTAAAAGCTTTGACAAGAAGACAGACCGATCCAAGGGGCCAATCATCCCCTAAACTAAATTTTAATATCTCTATGAGTGAGAGAGCATTATCTACGCGCATGAGACTGAGTGAGACCGACTGCGCTGTTAAAGCCATGAAAATTACTTGAAAATATTATTATTCAAAAAGGGCAAGCAAAAGCCGTTTAATATTTTGAAGAAAAATGAAGAGTACCAACAAAGCATTTCACCGTTTTGGTACGTTGGATTTTGTTGGTGATGTAGATGAAGAAGAACGTGTATTCAACATAATACAAAAATATCTGTGATGTTTACAATTTTCCTGGAATAATTGATGTAGATGCTGCCAGACTACAGTTGTTTATCATTTACAACATGGTATCTGATATAAATGAAGAATTCAATCGAAAGAATTTAAGAAACTTCGATGCCAGTAACTTACCACCTTGTAAAAGGAGCTTTGGCAACAGTTTCGACGGGCTAGCTTTGGAACAATGCAAGTATGAAGATGATAAATATTTTCAACCCCGAAAACAATGGCTGGACACTACAAGATGGTAAATATGATTTTCATCGGTTCGATGGAGATCAATTACCGGGTTTTGTCAGTGAGTCGCTGGAAGAACAATCAGGTAAATTATTTTCGTTTCTCATATTATTTGTATCTTTTTAGTTTTTTCAGACCTTCATTGTTTAACTTGTTTTTTACAGAGGAAGAAAATAAGGATAATGCTGATGATGACGATCACGATTTAGATATTCAATTTCAAGATTGATATTTGATGATGATGATAATGAAGATTAAAAGCCACTGTTAAAAAATATTGAAGAATTAATATTTTTCCACTTTATTTCCAAATTTCCAATAAATAATTAATTAAAAAAATTGCTGCTATTTAAATATAAGTGGTATTTTTAAAAAATATTTTTTAGTTCTAATTAATAAATTAAAAAAAAAAAAAATGTCGGCTAACTTTAGTATTATTTATTATGTGTCAATTTTTTCTTATTTTTGTTGCTATAATTTACTTGTCAACAAAAGTTCTAAAAATTATAAAAATCTGTTCAAGTAATTTTCATGGCTTTAACACCAGTCGGTCACACCAGTCTCATGCGCGTAGATAATGCTCTCTCACTCATAGAGATATAAAATTTAGTTTAGGGGATGATTGGCCCCTTGGATCGGTCTGTCTTCTTGTCAAAGCTTTTAAAATAGTTGTCGGATGAACATATATAAAAATGGAGCGTCAGAATTTACGTGAAGTTGACTAATTATTTTGAGACCCTTAAAGCGTCTGTTAAGCAATATGGCCGACGGAAAGTGTCTGGGAGTATTGACAATTTATTTTTAACTATACACTCGAAAACATATATAAAAATCAGCCATGAGAATTTACGTGAAGTAAGTAATGTTTTTGTGTACCTTGATTACCTGATACCTGGAAATTGGCCGTTTGACCAAGCTAGCAGGTAGGCATACGATCATAGTACATACTAACACTACCCAATCGTCCACATTTCATCCGTCAGAAAATACGTGACGTCTGGCGGCCCTGGGATCTTGCTCTAAAAGCTATTACATATATATATAATTTGATACATAAAACGCTTTAGATGTGTATTCAGTTAAAGAAAATTAACTGTGCTTCGAGCATTGCAAAGGAACAACAAGAATAGATTCGACTTTTCAAGAATCAAAGTGAATTGCAAGACAACACTGTTATAAGCGTTTGTAAGCAGAAGAAAAATTAGTTTGTTTTAAATAAACAATAATAAATGTGCGTTAACATGATAAGAAAAGCGTGAAGGACCCTCAACGGATATGTACACATATATAAGAAGAGATAAGCGTAATTGAAACAGCACTATACAATTTTCAACAGATCCGAGTACCAGAATAATAAGAATCCCGAAACAACCCGTAAACGAAACACTTATATAATTTATAAAACCCACATTCACATTTCTTGCGGCATTTTTTGCACTTTAGAAACATACCACGGCTACAAAGTTTCACGATATACTGACGCTATAATATAAAGCGCTTAAATTATAATATATTTCATACTAAATTCTACACAACAGACTCGTTCAGCGCAAATCGTTTGTGTCGATAAACTGCAGTTATCTGCTCTCCACATTATCTAACCGATTTGACCTCGAATTACATCATGTTTACCTGTTCATATAAGCACATACAAAATATATATCGCGTGCTAATACATAGTGTAGAGCGCAAAGAATTTTGGTGATATCATTACGTACAATGCAAATATTATCATAAAACCAAATATAGATAAGTACTAAGTTTTTGAACTTTATGGCATAATGGCCATAAAGGTTAAAAAAATTGTTTTAGGCTTTAAGATTTGTCTTTGTTTTTTAGACTTTGGCCTAGAAAGTACAACGTAGCGTTGTGAACAATAACAAAGAAATTGTCTTTTAAATAAGAATATTAGTTTTTTTAGCTTCCATAAAGTCAAAGAAGTTTTAAAAGCATATCTCATAGTTATATGTTTTCCTGTATTTATATAGTGGTAAATTCTGAAAGTGTTTTTTAGTGTATCAAAGCATTCGTCTATATAATATAAATATGTTACTAATCTTTTGTATTAAAATTTTAAAAAAATGTCTCCGCATTTTTACATTGAATAGTTAACTGTTTGGCTTCAGAGTCAAAAAAGTTTCAGAGGCAGTCATTAGACACAAAACCGAAATATTATCAAGTCTATTTGTTATTTCTAGTATCACTACTTAGGGATGTGACATTCTGTATATAAAATCTATTTTCTATAAATCGATTGCTTTTTTAACATTTATTAATCGATTTTTCTTGATTTTTAATTAATTAAAAATAAACAATAGTAATTGTAAACACAAAGTAAAGTTTTAGAATAATCAAAATTGAAATTAACCTAATCTGGTTTTGATAGATTTTAGGTGAAATTTGATAGATATTGAGTTTATGCCTTTTCAAAGAATATATATATACATTACATATATAGCATACATTGCAGTATTTTTGTTTTCTTTTTTATTGTATGTAACCTTGTGCAGCTGAATAAATTTATTTTACTTTTAAATTATAGTGTTCAATCCAAACTTGAGTTTTTGTGAAAGCAACTGGTTTTATCACCCTTTCGAATCTCCCTAATAGTTCGAGGTCCCGGTTATAAACAGCAGACATTATGTCGAGAGGTGGCAGATGAAAATCGACTATGATTGATTTTCAATGATAAAAAGAATCGATTAGTCAATCTTCTAGGTATAATATCTACCTGTGAGTCTTCTGCCCATACACAATTAATGAGTCAATGTTATGAAGCTTTTACGGGAAATGTAATGGGGTCGAAGTATAGACACTGTATTTTGTAAGATATATTTTATTTATTATTTTCAGGATGATATTTAATATCACCTACACATGTTATATTTGAAATTTGAGGCAATACTGATTATTTTTTAGGATAAGGATATATATAATAAGAAAATCGCGGAGAAACTTTTTGTAATATTAGTATAAAGAAGAATTTAATAAGTGTGCAATGTGTACAGAAATGTAGTAAGGAAATTAATTTGTTTGCCATTTTAAAAAACCAATTAGATAAGTATTAATGTGCAATTAGAAAATGTGTTTTAGTATTGTTTAATAAATAATTTCTAAACTATTCGTTTCACTACAAGATACTTACAGGGACCCGTGTTTTCTGTGAGACAAAATGGAATTTTTAGGATTTATACATATGGGTCATTTTATTGTTAATAGCCCGAATATATATAAGAATAACCAAATTACTTACTATATAATATTTATAATTACTAGTGTACATAACACATAATACACACAACAGTGTAGTACAATAAACATATATGTATATTTTTTTGTTTGGGATTATTACTACTAGTGGCGCCATCTTCGTGTGTAAATAAAAACTCTTGTACCCGTTTTAAAAAAGTAGGGAATATAGGTATTTAATTAGCAATTTATTATCAAGGGTAATTGACAAAAAAATATAAATACAAAGAAATTTTATATAGTTTGCATTAAACAATTACCAGACTTATAACACGTGGACTGAAGATAGTGTTTGCTACTAGTCGTTACTTCGTTACTATGGTAACCGATCTTTTGCATTGACCTTAAACCACTTAAGTGTCTAACTGGGGTACTGTTGGCTATATTCAAAATTCATAAAACATTTTATATCGTAATGTAAGACACATTACTTGGTACATTAAGAGAAAATTACTCTAATAATAAGCATTTTGAGATTTTCTTTTCCAAATTAATACAATTATTATTTAAATTAAATGAATACTTTCAAAGGGAGTGTGTATTTTATTGTTGTTTTTTACGCAGTTACAAACAATCATGGATTTTTTTAGATAATTTTAATAAAAAAATAATGCTGCTATATAATTGATGTGTATGTGTATAAAATCTGTATTGTCTGTATTGTTTGGGCATACATATAGTTTTAGAATTTATAAATATAAAAAAAAAGTAGATTTGTCTTTGTTAAGAAATTACCAGCTTCAATACTTTATAAAAAATGCCTTCATTGTTATAAATTTATTTAACGTTCGTCAAACATATCGGTGAAAAATAAATATATTTTAATAATAAGTTCTACAGACCGGCCAGATGCGCGATGTTATCAGCAGATCCGAAGCGATTGGAGCGTGAGAAGAGGTGGGCGAATTCCCTTGGCGCCGCCATTACGCTTCCGCCCAAACCAGTGATTCCGTCGCGTATATTACCGCCCACATTTCTATAAAAATAAATTTTATATATAGCAACGTAGCATTATCATTAATTTAGTTTTTATTAGATTTATTTATAACTCACTTAAGCCCTTGCCCCATATCCCGTAACACTTCCCGTGGTTGTCTGTGTGATTGTCCGCTTGTACCATGTTGCTGTAACAAATATATTGTAGTTTATACATGTAATAACAGTTCTGAAATTTGTCTTAACTATATAATAATGGCGTATATGGCAACAATAATTTCAGTGAAAAGAAATCGAAATTATATTTAGATTCGGAAAATTTATGTACCATTGAATATTACGTGGGTAACACTGAAAATGTTTAGAATTGGCCAGTTATTTATTTATTTTATTTATAGAACAGGGGGGAAACGGGCAGGAGGCTCATCTGATGTTAAGTGATACCGCCGTCCATGGACACTCTCAATGCCAGAGGGCTTTAAATTTTAGAACTCTTTGGTAACCTAATGAAGTATATTGCATTCATTTGTCATTTGTTTTGGTGAATTGGCGGCAAATCTAAAACTCTTGGTACACGTTAAAAAACCTAACGCGAGAAAATTTTGGGTCAATGATTTATTATGACTTTCGTTGTGGGCATACTCAACAACAAAGCTATGACAGGCTGCGATTAGCATTTCTTAATGAAGCCCCATCTCGTGTCACTATTTAAAATTGGTTTAACGAGTTTAAGCGTGGACGATCTGTAGAGAGGAACGGAGATTACTTCAATAAACAATAAAAGTATTGGCAACTTTCCAAAAAGCCGTTTTTCATTTTCTAAACATTTTCAGTGTTACCTAGGTAATAAAAAATGTATCCAATAAATAAATTACATATTATCTCATATACGTACATGAAAGAACAGACAATAAGATTACCTCCCAGTTTTTAATCCGTTTGTTATATCCCTCGAGTTTCTTTTGCAATTGTACAATACAGAGGGCGCTCTTCTGGTTTTTCTTCTCAAACACAGCCTTGATCCGCTGCAACTGTTGCTTATCTGCATTCGCTGCTAACTTCAGGTACTCGTTTACGTTATCTGTTTTAATCAAGCGATATATCAGCACTTGAGATATAGAATAATGTGAAGAGAAATTATTATTACGGTTAAAAAGTAATATAATGTTCAGATTTCACTTAAACATTGATCAACTGCTGACTCGGCTCACGTAGCTGTTTCAAAACAGCTGAAGATTCGCGATATACCTCACGAGAGTGGTTTTAAATATGTGTGAATAGGTATACGGAGTATTTAAGATGTTGCTTTATAACAATAAATCAAAATTTGAATACTGCTGATCAAAAGAAATATACATGTATATCGTAAAATTGAGAAGAAGACTATGTGAAAGTCTATGAAAACGTGTTCTTTAATACTAAAACCGATATATATAGACAGATATAACAGTTTTACCATTATATAAATAATAACTATCAAGTTAGTCAAAAGTCGTATAAACTAACCGATACAGTAAAGGTACAAAAATATTAAAGCATTCAGCATATTACATATGATAATATATTCAGATATTTTATAAAAATAAGGGAATTTACTCACCATCTCTTATAGTCTGTTCGAGCCGTATAAGATCCTTCGTTCTCTCGATCTTACTATTGAGATGCGCAATGGCAGCCTGTGCCTTAGCAGACGCCACATTGCCTTCACTATCTTCCGCTGAAATTATAATAAGATTAAGGAGCAGTTGCTAATGGTAAGAATATTTTTTAATGTTTTTGTCTAATACTAGACACAATTTTAAACTCTTAAAGTCGTCAGTTCGACACACGACAATGCACGAATGGATTATCTATACAGTAATACTTCTTCATACAGTTAGAACCGTGTGGAAACGAGTCTGTCAAAATCTCAATCAACATCGGCGAAGAGGCGTTGCGAGACAATGCTCGTGTTAGCGCACCCTAATCAAAAGGCTGGAACTAGAGTATATACAATGGTTGATATCGATCTTACTATGATTGAGCTAATATCTGAATCTAGCGAAGACAGTTCGTCACTGCGCCCGATTAATGCGCGCGCTTACACATTTCAATAATACGAAGTTTCTTAATAATGAAAGAATAATAATAATAATATGATTGGACAATTCACACCAAATGACCTAGTCCCACGCTAAGCTAGTGAAGCTTGTGTTATGGGTACTAGGCAACGGATATAGATAGATAGACATATAAATACATATTTAATCACCCAAGACCTAAGCACAACAGCAAATGCTCATCACATCGATGTTTGTCTCAGCCGGGGATCGAACCCGGGACCCATGGATTCGCAGTCAGGGGTACTAACCACTAGACCAATGAGCCGTCAGAATAGAGATGAATATGCTATAATTTATCTTTCTGTGCGCTAGTGGGAGTTGAGGCTTAAATCGAACGAATAGAAGGCTGATCGCACTTATAATTGTAGAGCCTTTATTTTATCAGTCTCGTTTAAACACAACACTTAATCACTACTCATTATCGCGTAATATTCTATTTGATTGTAGAATTACTTACATCCTTGCGTTAAATAATCCCCATCTTGACCTGAAAAGTATATTAAACACATTTACAAACTCATAAACTAAGCGTTTAAAGAAAACAATAACATGAATTTTGGAAAACAATTAAAAATATACAAAACAGATCTGTCCTTTTCATTACAACGTAAATAAAGTTTGACGAAAAGAGAGAAAAGACTACTTTGCTACAGTGGAAATACTGATGAAGGTTTCATAGATAAGCGAATTTTATATGGTATTTTTAATTCGTTTTTCATATCAAAATAGGATTTATATGTTAACTTTTAACTAGTGCAACACTAAATGTCAAAACAGGAGTTTCCATTAGGATAATGTTGCTTTTATATTACATGACCCGTATCCGTGGTTGGAGAAAAAGTTGTCTATGTTACCTCTGTAAGCCGGTGAGCCATATTCATCAGCGGAGAGGGCATATGACACATTAGGGCTGTAGACGGCGGTGACATAGTCTCCAGGGATTATATTCGATATATTCTTCTTTTGCGGCGAATCTTCTAATCTGAAATTTAAAGTTTATATCATGAGAACCAATAGGTTATAAAATTCTCTTATAGTAGAAATGTGTAAAACTGACATAAGAAAATTGTAGCGAGGAATTTCTTAAATTGTTTCTATACAAATCCCCTTCTTATACATAAAAGTACTATAAGCATCGCATTCACACTTTGTCGATAAAAACCAGTCAAAACATTATTTTACTAAATGAGCCAGGAATAGTGTATGTAAGTATTTACATGAGCAAGTACACTATATAATTTAAAGTTATTTGTCCAACAGTCTTTTTATAACTAGGAATGTTCAGTTTCGGATATACAATAACTCTAATTAATAACTCTAATATCGATTAATAATAACTAGTCTTGATTTATAAAAAAACATTCTTAGCAACTACACTATTCAGCCCATTCAAAGTAAAATTACAAACGAAATTCTATATAATTATAAAATATATAAATATAAAATAAGTTATAAATGACGCCAAAATAGCACACAGTCTATACGATACATCACTGCCACAGACAAGGAAGTCAAGTATGCCACAAATTCAACTATTTTTTGCAGTATTTTCTAGCAAAAAATTGATGAAATCTCCTTGGTTTTGTAATGAAAAAAATCATAAATTACTAATTATTGTTATAGATATATATGAGAGTTAATAAAATTTGCACTTTGTGTGAAATACTAGAAACTGAAAAGTATTGTTACAACGCAAATTGGTATTATACTAGAAAGTTGCTAATACCGAGAGGTTTCAATAGCCTCTCCAATTAAAACTGTAACTGGCTTAAACTGCATCGGGTGAAAAGTGCATGTCAAGTTACGAATTAATTGATTTAATATTATAAAATTACGTAATTCTAAGTGAGTTAATTCATAATCGATATTTTCCTGTTTTTGGTTGCTATTTACTCTTCCGATTTAGGGGTTTTCGTTATTTAACAGGGATTAGTATTAGGTCATTTTAAAAATAAAGAATTATTTTTTCTGGCGATAACATTTTCGTACATGTAGTCTAAGCAGACAAACATATATACGACAAAACATCTAACAAGATAGACTCGGTTTGGCATATTTATCTATAGAAAACTAGTCGGGCCATAAGTTCTGTTACAAATGAAAATGAAAGTTTCTCAACTTTTTAATTATTTTGAATCTGAAACACGTATATTATTTTAAAACTTCTTTCGATTTTGCGCCATTTCACATATTTTTTGTGTTCATTATCAAATTACAATATGGAAATAAAATAGGATTGCAGTCATCGCCTTGCAAAGTGGGAATGGAGCCGTCGGTCATGTTCCAGACCCTTCAAAAGCTTGGTATAAGCCGTATGTTCGTATATCGTACAATCAACAGATAAAAAAATGCATTTTCATTTGTAACAGAACTTATAGCTGGATTAGGTATATACATTTAAATACGGAATTGAAACTTACTCTCGTGACGTATTTCCGGTTGTGTTAGCAGAAAGGGGGCTGGTACCAAGATCCCTGGAATGCGACTTTACGTGATGAGAACGAGGCTCTCCGTGACGGGACGATGAATCCTGAAAATCCCATTAGTGAAGGTATTTGTTAATTATAAGTAAGAAATAATGTTCAAACACAGACACATTTTGTGTTATTTAAGATAAGTTGTCAAGATCATTTCCGTTTACATTTATCTGCCATTGACCTTTCGATAAAGTTAATACTAAAATGATTTTGTATCATTCCTACAACTACTCAGCAACTGATTTCAGTAGGAGATTAGCTAGATTTCTTATACATATTCCTAGAACGTGTGCCCAAAGGAACATATCTAAATTTTGTAGCATGTGTGTAATTTTGTAGGAAGTCGTGGCTCCACAACATCAGAGAATGGACGGGAGTGGCCAGCGTAGAACAGCTGATGCGCTTGGCAAAGAATAAGAAGAAGTATGACGAGCTGACCGCCAACCTCCAGTAGTGGAGAGGCACGACAAGAAGAAGAAGCATGGTGCGGGTGACAGTTTCGGTAACGAAAGTTGAAAGTTGCCGCGATTTACAAACTATGACTTAGTATTTCAGCTGTACCACATTCGTAATATATTAAATCATTCATAACTGTAGTAACTTAAATTGAACTCAGCCAGAATGTTCTAGTCTACAAATTAAGTCAAATTGAAAGAAAAATTAAGCAACTGTCACCAGCACCATGCTTCTTCTTCTTGTAGTGCCTCTCCACTACTGGAGGTTGGCGGTCAGCTCGTCATACTTCTTCTTATTCTTTGCCAAGCGCATCAGCTGTTCTACGCTGGCTTCTCCCGTCCATTCTCTGATATTGCGGAGCCACGACTTCCTCCTTCTGCCGGCGCGTCTTTTCCCCTCGACCTTGCCCATCATGATGACTTGAAGAAGTCGGTACCATTCGTGTCGCACCATGCTACAGCGCACATAGTATAAGTTATTCTTGCCAGACGTAATATCACCGTTTCCTACTCAAAAAACTATTTTAATTTGTTTCGGTACTTACACTGACATGATGCACCGTGGACGGCGACTGGACCCTCGATCGTATCAACGCATCGTCAGTCAAGGCGGGATCTCTGGCCAGATCCACTGTGGACGGGGACTGGCTCCTACTGGATCCCTTACTGTGTCCATGTCCAACGTGCAATGTATCCATACTAAACGTTTATATGCATTTTCACTTATTTAAACCGCTTGAATGATTTCGAATCCATTCTTTTGTGGATCTGGAAATAATTAGTAATTACATGATCCAGTTTTTACAAACCAATTCCACTTAGGATACGAACTTGCGAGATAATACGAAGATTAAGTAAGAAGGCCAGAATTTATTTGCGAGTGGAGTCAGAATAAAGTTTAATATAATTTTCATAAGCATAACTAAGATAGCTCGTAGCTATGCATGTTTCGTTGTAATACCACTCGTGAATACCAAAACACTTTCCAATGTCGACTTCCATAAACGAAGAAAAGTCAACCATGAAGGTTCTTATTGCATTACTATAGCTTATGAATGTTTAACTTACAATTTAATAGTTTGTCGTATTAATAAATAAGGTAGTATCCGTATTATATTAAATAATTCTATAAATCTATAAATTTGATGATGAGTCACACGCTGAAGTCACTAGACCAACACTGCTCTCCTACATACAACTTTAATTTCACAGTAGCAAATAGAACATATTGAAAATCAATAATTTCTACGAAGTTGAACGCATTTTGTATTTTTAGCTCAATATTTATGAATGCGTTTCTCGGCTATAAATTTAATTGAATCTAGCCGTAAATGGGACAAGCTGTGACGCTTGCCCGTTTCGTTCAGTAAAGTGCCGGCTGGAACACTTTATATAAGTTCTTTCGTCAATTTCACCGTCACACATTCTTATTATTCTAGATTCGAAAGACGAGATAAATGTCACTAAACATAGAAACAAACAATCTATACTAATATTATAAAGAGGAACGATTTGTATGTAAGTATGTTTGTAACGAATTGGCTCAAAAAGTACCGATTTTAAAAATTCTTTCACCGTTTGAATGCTTCATTATCACTGATTAATATAGGCTATTTTAATTGCAAGAAAAAAATAAGGTTCCCTACTAAAACTACAATAATGTTACCCAAGGTGATATACTAATGATAATAACACAAAAAAAATGGTCGACAATATTAAAGAACATATCAATATCTACAAAAAATTGCGCAATAGCTTGTAAAGGATAAATTAGTACAAAGTTCTAGTACGGTGAACGAAAACAACGCAAGGCAACCGGCACGTCTAGTGTTGACTATGTCAGGTACAGAAGGCTGGATTACCTTCATGCCTATAAAGGATAATGAAACAGGCAGAAATGTGTCTGCCCAATGACCCATTGAGATACGACGCTTGTTAGTGCAACAATCCCTAAAACAATCAAATTGTGGCCAGCACAATGAAGGGATCCCATGCGACGACAGCCAGCGATAAATAACTTTTTTTTATCTGTAATACTTTCTTCCATAGCCATATTTACCGGTACTTTCTTGTCCCATTAACTAGAAATACATTTGAAAATTAATTACGAAACAAGCATCAGACATGCTAGCTAATTTATAGCTTTATAGCGGTAATCCAATTCGCTTATCTACTAGGTTAATTGCAATCGATTTTTTGTACGTCTGCGCCAAAATATATGTTCATATAATAATTATTTGTTTGATTCCAATTAGCCATAACATTAAGGGAGACAAAACTACACTTGTATTTTACATTTCCAACTGTTAGTTGTTAGTTAGTGTTTATGAATGAAGTCCATAATATAGACACAGTCCACAGATAAAGTTAAACGGTTTCTAACTTTGAAGAAGTATTTTCAACAGAAACTTAGTAGAAACAGACTAAACATGTTTATTTGTTGCAATAACTCTTTGACATTTAAATCAATCATATTAAGCAGTGTTGGCAGTGGTTTCAGCGTGCGACTCTCAACCCTGAGTTCGTAGGATGTGCACCAATGGATATTCTGTCTATGTGCGCTAGTAACATGTGCACAGCTGTGCACAGAATCAGGCACAAACGCGTAACGCAGAAGGCTGATCACCAGATCACCAGATCACCAAATAAAACAGACACAAAAATCTGTGGAAAAAACAGACCTAAGGGCGCGACTAATTTCTTATAATCAATCATATGATCATTTGACTACTTAAAATTTATGATGAGTTTTGACTACAGTTCAAACTTTTTTATATTATATTATAATAACCTATTTGCATGTACTGTCAATATAAAGTACTCCATCACATCACATTTAAGGCAAATAAAGCTTAATATTACCATGACATACTTTCCTGGTATTCGGATTATGGTTCCTTAAAGGCGCAATCTATTTTTGAATGTAAGCAATGCAGACCAACAAATATCGACGAGTCTAAATCAATTACACGGTGAATCACTCAGACATAAATTGGTGAGCAATTAACTTTCTCTATCGTAAAAGTATCTTAGTACGTTATACTGTTATATATACTAATAAAAATAATTTTTAAGTTTAGTAGTAGTTCGTTTTTGTAATTATTTATAATAAAGACTAGAACAGAAGGACGTGATTGCTTTAATCTAAGAACAGCCCGCGTAAGGTCAAATGGAAGGAAGGCATAAGGGTTAGTTACCAACGCGTTGGGGCAACCTTGTAAGTGCAACCACCGTAGCATCATCGTATTTGTAACCAGACTGGACCAGCAAAGATGTACGCATAAAATGCCACAGTACCAGGCCAACATAACAACGTGGAGCAATTTCCGGAGCCGGTCACATCTCGCAAGTATATTTAGCATTTACATAATATTACTAGGAAAACATGAGGTCTACTATACTAATAATTTATGTCTCCTTGTCTACCCCACTCTTTTGAGAACAAGGTCACTATTTCAATAAAAGTTGTTCAAAAGAGGCTTTTTCTTACAAAACACGTCTAAGAGTATCACGAATACAAATTGCTACTTGGAAAAGTCGTCTTTTAAACTTGTTTTTGATAATTTAATTACAAACAAACTTTTGTAGTATAAATTAGGAATACGCACATAGTTAATATTCTGGAGGTAATTTTCTCCGGTAAAAAAATAATTTTCTATAGTTTAGGCTATATCCTCGTGATCCTATTCTCTTCCTGATCCCTTCTATGACTACAAAGATTCAATGAAACTCAACAATGTTTTCGCTACACGACGCCTTAATTCCTGCTGAGTTCATTGTATACATAGCCAACAAATACAGTCCAGTCCAGTGGCGTTACAACCCTGAAAGGGTGTTGGCCTAAATTGGATCCGTATCTATAATCATTTTTATTTAATGTTATAAAATAAAATATTTATTAACAAGTACCTAGGTGTTCCGCCTTCTGTACCTGACACATTTCTAAGAATTTTGAGAATAACGCGTACCGTTTCACAATGCTTTCACCGTGGGAGTTTCTTAATTGCGTACTGTTAATTTTTATAATCATAATTCCGGTTATTCGGTTTTTTAAAAAAAAGAAAAAATATGTTCAGGATACAACTGAACTTTACTTAGCAATTAGGAGTTACAAAATATTAGAATATAAGACGACAAATGTGTATGCCTCTTGATGGGAAATGCTGACTTAACAGAAACTAATAGAGTATCCGGAAAGTAATTATAACTAAGCCAACATATACTATCTTAAATATACAGTCAAATTAAAAAAATCCTAGGGTTATTGCGAAAACTGTAATTGCAAAGTTTTTCAGTTATTAAACGGCGCAATCAAACGTCGAAACAACTTTGAAATTGCCAAACCGCACCGGTATTACAGCTCGAAACGTTCATTGGGGTTATGAATTCAAGCCTTTAAATCTAGCATAACATAATAGAACCTTTTCTACGTAATTTTGATGTGCACTTATGTAATTATTAACATAGTTAAACTTTTATTTATTTATATTAGTTTGAAGCGCACTTGACCGTCTTTGACCAGCTTCAAAAATTACAAGGATTTACATTTTGTCAACTTAATGTAAAATTGTATTGCATTTTGATAGATTATGTACAAACCAAAAGGAATATAAAAAGGAACTTTGATCTATTTTTTTTTGACCAACATGATATTATAATAACATAAAAATAAACTAAATTCCTAATATACAAATGCATTAATATATTACAAATAAAAAGAAACAGAAAAACAATAACTAACCTTAAAATTTAATAACTAAAATGTATTATTAAAAGGAGTCCCTTTAGGGAAGGTTCCGAAGATACTGGCAGCGTTCCCCCTTTGAATAGCTAGACTAACTATCGATTAAGGATTAAAGATTTATTTAGTCTCTTATATTAATAAACGTTCATTGCCTATAATAGTTAATGCTTTGTCACGTTCAAATTTAGTTATAAACGCATAAGGGCCAGAGAAAGGAAGAAAACATCATTTAAAAAAAATCTTGTCCCGATTCGAAAAATTGTCATGATTATACGCCTCACTAATTCAAAACATTTAAAATTTAAATGCAATAAAACTCAGCGCAACCTCGAACCTTGACTTGGCCTTATGGCTTTAATATTACTACAAAAGAATGTTTAAATATGTATGCGTTTGCATATCGTATTCATAACTGGGTGATTTTTTTTACCATTTACCACCTACTCCTATAGACCGTATTCACGTTTTTTTCGTATGATCTAGAAAGATTTTTATAAAATAAAAGAATACATAAATAATAATTTATCTAATATACACATGTAAATTCTATATCACTTATTAGCAATGTTAACGAACTTCAACGGTTATCAAGACAAGTTTTGTAATTGTACAACACGATTTGAACTTTGACTTTTGACAGCGGATATTGTTATTAATTTTCTCACTATAAAAACCAGAGTTCTAGGAATAAATTTAAAAAAAATACTCGAATTGGTCCAGCTGTGATAGTTTTGAGCTTGGCAACATATTTTGCGATTCATTATTATTTATATATCCCCGAATTATTCGACATTCAGATATTTAAATTTGTCATCGAAGTAAATACGTTTGAATTTCGAACTAAGAGAATATTAACGGTACGTTTACTTTACTTGATATATTTCAGGACAATATTGTAACTATGCTAACAAATACCATTAGTTCTCTAAACAGCTAAACATAAAAGACGATATC